GCTTGATTGTGAATGTGGTCTCTCTTATATAGAACAAACTAAAATATCCATAAAAACCCGCGTTAAAGAACACATAGCTGATGTGAAGAATCGATGCTCCGGTAAGTCTGCAGTTTGTGAACACGTACAGGATCGCCCCCATCACTACATTAGATTTGATAGTTCACAAATCCTCGCCAAAGAACACCGATTCCTTCCCAGGATGATTCGCGAGGCTATTGAAATCAAAAAACATCCTATCAATAGAGAAGATGGCTGGGTGCTACCTACATAATTAATAAAATTAAATCCCAACCCAAGCATACAACTGCAAGACTTCAAGATACTGTAAGTTTATACTGCGTAGATCGGAACAAAAAATAATAATTTTAATCTGGAGGTAGCCGTGGTAAACTATGACATTTGGACGTCATACACCTCGGACCCCCCGTGACCATGGGTGCTGTAAAGTGCTCGAAACGTCGAGAATATGAAATAAGTTTATATAATAAAATCCGTAAAACTAGTTTTATTTAAATGTGTAGTGTTCGCGTAAATATAAGAAATCATTATGCACCGTACCATTCTTACAAAAAGACAAAGCTCCAACATCCAGCAGCAGAAAACTGGAGGTTATATCTTGGCTGCAGAGCAAAAGCATTGAAGCCAATGAAAATATGTTGAAACACGAATTGGTCCGATTAGTGAAAGAAAACAAACCCAGAAAGCCAACCAACATTTTGGGTGAAATCGCTGAACAACATGGCTATACGGTGCTTAGATTGCCACCATATCATTGCCGTTACAATGCCATCGAACAGATATGGGCTCATGTGAAAGGTTTTTTTTTTGTCATTATACCTAGTACCTACGTTTACTACATATACAGATACTTTATTTTTTTTTAGGTCATGCAGCTAAACATAACACATCTCCACCATTTACGGCTAGGAAAATGCTGACTTTATTGCAAAATGCCTGTGATGAGGTTACTGTGGATGACTGGAAAAAAGTCGTGGAACACACAAAGAAATATGTACCAAAAGACTGAGAGCGAGATGTCCATTTTGACAGAGTTTGTGAACAAGAATTAATAATCAACGTAAGGGACAGTTCCAGTAGGGAGCCTAATGATGATGATGATGGTAATAATGAACTTGATTTAGGTTGTGCACCATTATTTTAATAATAAATAGGTTTAAGCTATAATTCCTTATTTGATTTCTCTCTAAGCCCTTTCACAAAATTATTTCGACTCGCACGTATTCTACTAAATAGTCTGACTGACCGAATAAAAATATGCACGAGGCGAAATCGTTATTCTGGGATGGATTTTTTTATTAATTCAATAGATAAGAAATTGTTCAAAATCTATACAGAGTAAACATGCAACTATCGATTGCAAGTACTATGAGAATAATAATAGAATAAATTCATTAACGATTATACACCACCCCATCCCTAAAGTGAGCTGTCAAAATTATCAAGCTAAATTTGACAGAGCATAAATAAGAATATGGATAAAAGACCAGCCAATCGCTTTATATCTTTTTATGACTGACAGACGAGCTAGGTATGCGCATTGGTAAATTTTAAAAAATGAACTCGTTAATCACATTTCTATAGTCATATTCATGCAAATCACAAAGCCTAAAGATGAGATAATGTAAAATAAGCCTGATTTTATTAGGTCCAGAACAGTGGAGTAGCGTGCCTTAGAGCCCTTAGAGCCCTGTATCAAAATTTGTCGGAGTGCCCAAATGAAGCGTAAAGATTTTTCACAAAAGTCGCCTGCGCCAATTACGGCATCCACGGGAAGAAATTTGAGACGTAGAGGCGTTCATACGTAAGTGGCACATTAGCAAACATTGAGTAGAACCCGAAACAGTTATCTATTAGTTTGTGTGTAAAAACAAACAAATAGTTGCTCCTGGTGGGATTAGAACACGCGACAAACGCTTAGCCACTGCGCTACCGAGAATATAAAATAACGACATATCGATTATTATAACATTTTATTTATATATTAAATAATTCATGCATACACACGCTATGGAGAAGGCATATCATGATAAAGTGCTTCTGGAACTACATATTCTTCCAGTAGGCCAGTTATAAAGAGATATGATAAAGAAAAAGTAACAACTGCTATTATATATAACATACAAGCATAAAATAAATATACAAATACGTAGATATATTCATATATACAACTCATTAGTAAATATATACACAAACACACACACATATATATACATACATACATACAGATATATATATATATATATATATAATGACTTTAAGTGATAAATATCAAAGACAAGGAAAGTCACTGTTTTGATTTCACGAATAAAAGGCGGTAGTGAATTCCTGAGCATTATGAAGTAATACGCAAGATAATGCTGAGGGAATAAACATAAATATGATTGAGCTTTAATGAATAGGAATTTATAACGGTTTTATGGTGAGATAATTTGTGGAATATAAACAAAATTCAAAGCCAAAACACCGCTATATTTTTGAGGTGTCACATAAATAAAGAATACTATGGCTAGCTATTAAATTAAATTATTTCTGTCAAAACTATTTGCTTAAGAATAAATTATATCTGAATAAACAGGAAAATGCTTAATGTGTGTGAATGCATCATATTGTTTTGATTTCATAAATATCCGTCGTAATAAATCATGTAACGAGACTTCCACATTCCAATTATAGCAGTTAATGCAACTGCATTGCATTATGTAAATAAATTACTTACCTAATGTTTTTGGTATGCATTTTAAGAAAGAATTGATCTAATATATAAAAAAATATTTTTGTTCGTTCGTGTTTTATGCGCTGCCATACCATTCATCAGATTGCGCTAAAATTTTATCATGTGATTGCTTGCACTTGTGCGAACGTTATAGGCATAGTACAAAAAACTTTTAGTAGATGGCGCACGTATCGTACCGACAAATTTATTTGAGCTAAGTTATATATATATATATATCATTTCACTTCAATGAATGTATTATCATTCCCAATTAAACAACATAATCCTTCCAAATTGAAAACGATATTTCCACAATTATTTCTTATGGGTCTGCAACGCGCCGGGTACCAGCTAGTTTTAAATAAAATTGTTTTATTTTTCATCCATCTATTACAACCTTCTCCATAGATTCGCTCATAGTGATCTCCTCTGAATTGTCGTAAGAGACTAAATTGCCACATGAGTCATGGCATGGCTCCTTAAGAGAGGGTCCCTTAAGGTGCCGTAAGAGGCGATAAAGGAAAGTGGCAGCACCATCTTTCTGATTACAACTCAAAATAATATAAAACTGCGGTCTCCATCTCACCTGGCAAGCTTGGCATATATCCCCCCTATGAAGCAGAATATAAGCTAGATGGAACTTCTCACTGCCTCGTTGGTCTAGTGGTTGTAGTAGTGCGACTGCTGGTCATGAGGTCCCGGGTTCGAATCCGAAGTCGAGCCAAAAAAATCAGATCAGATCAGATTGAGTTTTTCCATCAAAAAATTCTCAGTAGCTGCCCGGAGTCAGGAAGTAGGCGGTGTCTCACCCCCGTGCCTCAGTAAGCACATAAAGCCGTTGGTCCTGCGCCTGATCTCTCTCCTGTCGTGCCGGTTTACCGTCCCATCGGACTATGAGAGCGAGGGAATAGAGGGTGCACCTGTGCTTGCGCATACACTTGGGCACTATGATCCTGTCCTGCGCAGATGCCTAGTCGCCTAGAAATTCGGTCTGGAGGACATTATTATTATTATTATGCGAGATGATTCGCAGTGGACTTTTGATGGGCTGTATGAGTGAATACATACCTATATTTATTATGAGCCGTGGCCGTGGTTGCTGAAAGGCTAAGCTCGCCTTACATTTTATAGTACCTACACGAGCTATTTTATAGTTATTCTGGTTCGATATATGTGACGGCCTCGCTGGTGTAGTAGTCGTAAGTGCGACTCCCTTAAATCTCATGTATACTCTAAAGTTACAGCCTACATACGTCCTACTGCTGGGCACAGGCCTCCTCTCATACCTGAAAGGGTTTTAGGGCAAGAAAATGTCCGCCACGCTGAGTTGACTACCTTCACATTGTCATCGATATATTTTTTGTCTTATTTGTTATAGGTGCAATTTCATTGGTGCCAGAGGGGATCGAACCCGGGTAGCTCGCGTACTGTGAAATTTACAGCGAGCGCTTAGTCCCTGAACTACCACGGCTCCCCTGAGCTACCAAGGCTCCCATGTATACTCTAAGGCAGCTGCTAATCTTGAATCAAAATTAGTTATTGGGTCTTTCTGTTAAGAAATTCTCAGCAACAGCAGCCCGATATGGAGCAGGGATACGTAACAGTGAGCAAAATAATATAGTTATAGAGTAATGGATTCTCTTACGCCGCGAGTATTGAACAAACAGAAACTAAATACCTACCATATCTAAATTATACGTAGACCCAAATTTGTATTTTAATTACGGCAAACCCCTGCTTATTATAATTCAATAGAACTGAGTTAATGTTTACGTCCAAAGCTTGAACAATCAAATATGAAAAAAGTAAGTTTTCTAAACTGAAAAAAAATTACCCATATTAAATCTCCAGTTATCAAAAAACATTACTTATTACTTATTCTGCGACAGCTTGATGTCCCCTACATTAATGTCAATCACCTTTAGAACACGCATTACAAACAATATGTTGTGTTCAAACAAAAGCGCCTCGAGATTTCCCCAACTAATTATTTTGGACAGTAAAAGATAAATATTTGATGGTTGTTATGCGTTTAATAACTTGTGTTTGCTTAGTTAACTAGTGATAACTATAGTAACTCGTAGATGATTAACCTTTGACATTATGTGCGGTCAATCACTGACTCAGCCTATATCGTGTGGTCCGACGCAATTACCCGGCATATGAACACAGCACAGTTCATGAGTTCAGTCGACGCGCAGCAGTCGAGCAAATTGCGCGTATACATTTACCTATTTAATATTCAGTAAACAAAGAAAGTGAAATGATTGTTTTACGTGTTACGAGTTTGCTTCTGTGCACACTCGCTATATCAGCAGAACTTCCACATCCACTTTCCGATGAATTCATCGACTTGATAAATGTACAACAGAACACGTGGGAAGCTGGTCGAAACTTTCCGTTAAATACGCCATTCCAACACATCAAGAAACTAATGGGTGCATTGAAGGATGACCACTTTTACACGCTTTCTTCGAAAACACATGAAGCCGAATTAATAGCGAGTCTGCCGGAGAACTTTGACCCGAGAGACAAATGGCCTAATTGTCCTACATTAAACGAAATTAGAGATCAGGGCTCCTGCGGAAGCTGTTGGGCATTTGGAGCTGTTGAAGCAATGACGGACCGCGTATGTACATACTCAAATGGTACAAAACATTTTCATTTTTCGTCCGAAGATCTTTTAAGTTGCTGTCCTATTTGCGGTCTTGGTTGTAACGGAGGAATGCCTACGCTGGCATGGGAATACTGGAAGCATTTCGGTCTCGTTTCTGGAGGCAGCTATAATTCTAGTCAGGGTTGTAAGCCATACGAAATTCCACCCTGCGAACATCACGTGCCTGGAAACAGAATGCCGTGTAGTGGTGACACTAAAACCCCAAAATGTATCAAACAATGCGATTCCAGTTATAATGTTCCCTATAAGCAAGATAAACATTATGGTAAACATGTTTACTCAGTGAGAGGAGGTGAGGATCATATCAAAGCCGAATTATTTAAGAATGGACCTGTAGAAGGTGCTTTTACTGTATACTCGGATTTGCTTGCGTACAAAAGCGGTGTATACAAACATGTTGCTGGCGATGCCCTCGGAGGACATGCAATCAAAATAATAGGATGGGGTGTTGAAAACGGCAATAAGTACTGGCTCATTGCCAACTCATGGAACAGTGACTGGGGTGACAATGGTTTCTTCAAGATTCTTAGAGGTGAGGACCACTGCGGCATTGAGAGTTCCATTGTGGCTGGAGAACCTTTGTTTAACTAAAGGATTTTTCCGTTATATCAAACTGACTATAGACAATTAGTTATGTTTAACTGTAAGTGTCCCACATAGTTTTTTTTATTAATATAGAATTTGTAATTTAAATAAATTGTAAAGTTTTTAAACTGTGTGCTTTATTTACTATAATATTATACATAAAATATCTATAAAACTAAAATATCCTATAAATCTACTTTAATCGTTATAATTGAAGCCGACTGATAACTGACAAATCATCCAAAAATTCGATATTAATCCGCCTGATAAGCATGGTGTTGTACCATCTTCAAGAAATAAATGCCTGCCTACACGTTTTTGAAATATTACACTGTCTAACAATTTACTCTACAAAGATGGCCATTAGTTATTTTGAATTTAGTTCCAATGCACCTATAAAAATATATTTCAAAACAAAACTCAAATTTCATTGTACCTACTTATTTTAAATATAACACAATTTAGTTATCACGTTTCATAATCATCCTCTCGTCTTTATTTAAGTGACATCTGTAATACATTTTAGGTTATATGTAAATACCACCGAAAATATGAGGTTTAAAAATGACCTTATTCTTTTTGCAAATTAATGAGTCAATTCGTCTAAGTTTATTGAAATTTAAAAAACCAAGCTTAGAATCCATAGATTAATGATAAGTCATCATTAATCTATGCTTAGAATAATTTTAAACTGAACGAATGACTCCGACTGAACTATTTTAGGGATAAAAAATTAAAGCCAAGTATAAAAAAAGAATTGTTTTAAATTATGTAAGTATTTAAAGATCTCAAAAATGTTTCTTTTTATTTAGCAAATAATTTATTTTATGTATTTTGTTGTAATTATATTATTTTCACATTTATCCTAACAACGTATTTCATACTAAACTAAACTCTTTCGAATTTCTACTGAATGAAAAAAATAAAAAAGTTTTTATTATTGTTGCTAGCAGCAAACTCATTCAGCAATTATTTTATATACATAGAAGTAGTGATCACTATCTGGGCCATATTCAGAATCCGGTTAGTGTACCATTTCTTTCATTAATTTATTCATAGCAAAAGATTATTGAACCTATTTTGATAAAAAGTTAAACAGGTTCCTATTACATACTAGTAAATGTGCATCGCATGAAACCAGTTCGACGTCGGTATCTTATTTGTAGTCAAGATATATGAGGCAAGAATTAACAAAGAACATATATGAACAAAATATATATGATCTGTGGGGTAGCTTCTGACTGAGTGGAGTGACGACCTGGTAAGACATGCAAGAAGACCCATCGAGGATGCAGGTTGTTCAGGACCACGCTTTGTGGCATCCCTTGGGGGATGCCCTATGTTTAGCAGTGGACTTGTGAACGGCTGTAATGATGAAGATGATGATGATATATGAACAAACGCACAAATCATACATACAGGTATAATTATAAAAACATACCAACCACTCTTGAGACTCTCTTTTTGTACGTGGTAGAGCCATGCTGCAGCTATATTAGGAGTATAGTTGTAGCACGAATGGGTCGGCTCGACCGGGGAAGGACCACGCTCTCACAGAATACCAGCGTAAAATAGCAGCTTAACACTGCTGTGTTTCGTATGGTGAGCGTAGAGAACCGGAGACCCTTTTTACTGGAAAAGAGGCATTCCATCTTAGTCCTCACGGGTGATAACGCATCTGCATTTTGATTCGTAAACGAGGATAAATGTAGATGTCTATGGGCCACAGCAACCACTTACCATCAGGTGGACTGTGGGCTCGTTTGTCACCCTAACCTATAAAAAAAAATCACTCTTGAGACCATAATACATGGAGACATATAAAAATTTCGACCGCATATACCGCATATACCTCCCAGAGGTTAAAACTTTCAATTTACAAACCTACATCAATCCATTATTGAAAAAAGTTCTCTCCGGAATTAGAGTAAAGTTTTAATTATTTACTAGCTATTCCTCGCGACTTCGCCCACGTATAATTTAGGGTTTTAATTATGTTGCTCGGAATCCTAAATATTTTTCTAAAATAAAAGTAGCCTAAGTTACTCCTTATAACATCAGCTATCTGCTAGTGAAATTCCCGTCGAAATCGGTCCAGCCGTTTCGGAGATTAGCCGGAACAAACAGACAGACAAAAATTTATAAAATTGTGTTTTTGTTATAAGTACCGTAAGGTACGTTGGGGTAAGATCGGTGATGGGGCAAGACCGTAGGATTCAAATTCCCGGCGAATTATGCTATATTTTGAAAAGCTAACAATATGCTACACGACGCCATTTCATCCTGCCCCGACCCTCAGTTCGCGCCAGTCACTCCGGCAAGTGGGACCTGTGCTGCGTGGCATTTTATAAAACAATGTAATTTTTGTATTATTTTTGTCCATCCGATCTTTCCCTATCACTTTTATTTACGATTTTTAGCGAGAATATGGCTTCTTTTGTTATTATTTTGTGTGGATACTAATTTTTATGAAGTTATAGCTAAATAAAGCTGGTCCATGCAGGGGTAAGATCGCTGTAGGCCGAGATCCGATGTTTCCCCTCGTGAGTGAAGATCGGATGAATATTATCCGATCTTTGCCTGTTACAAATATGGCAGTGGTTGTTAAACTTTCATTGGTCGTGTATATTTTTTCGTTGATTACTCAAGTGACTATGGGACTCAGTCTCGTTAGCAAGTCTGTATATTTAAAAGTAATAAAACAATACGATGGTTTTATTACTTTTAAGTACACATTAAAATACATTTTTTTTTTATAGGATAAGGGTGACAAAGGAGCACACAGTCCACCTGATGTTAAGTGATTACTGCGGCCCATAGACATCTATATCTATCCTCTATTACAAATCAAAATGTAATTTATAATAATTATTTAAAAAATAATTTATAATAATAAATGCCGCTTTCTTAAAATATCTTCCTTAACTCCTGCATTATCCCAGGGCATTTCGCCAGTCCTTACTGTTATTTTTTTTCCCATATAAAATCAAATGCATCCGATCTTTCTCTTATATTGAGTAATTCCATCTTATGTCATAACAAAGTTTGAGAAACATAAAATTACAATTTCTTTATATCAGGGATAAGATCGGATGGCAAAAAACAAAAAAAGAGAAAATCGTTTGGAACATTTATGTTTCTAGTAATTTATAGATCATATTGAAATATGTTTTTGAGCGTTAAATATAGGACAAATCTCTTTTATAAACTTTTTTCTCTAAGCAGTAGAAGTGGTTTTAAATTTAAGTCCGGTCTTACCCCTTAATGGCCAATTTTTCATTATGCATATAAAAAAGTATGTCTAGTTTTCGCACACCTTTAAAGCAGAAACCGTTGAGTTTACACAAGCAAAAGACTCTCAGAGCTAAACTACGTTTAACGATTAACGGTTTGCTCCAGGTTCCATAAATTTGACGTATACGAATGTCGAGAAATTAAAGTTTTTGGCAGACTCTTCCAACTTTTCGAAAATCCGTCCGGTATTACCCCAACGTACCTTATATGTTTTCATATGCATTTAGTTAAAATGCTGGTATTTTGACATTACAAACAGACACACTTCAATTTAATTTATTTGTATAGATTACAAACATTCCTGAGGACTACTTTGAATCTGATAAACAAACAATCTAAGAGCAAATTATTTGGTAAATACCCTATAACTTAAGTAATCATTATAAAAATATAACTACATATTTACTAACCTAAATTAAAAAAAGACATTACATTGTCAATGTTTATATGAAATTTATACGTTACTTTTGCAGTAATCCTTTGTATAATGTTCAAAGAAATAATAGGTATACGAGTACCTACACATAGGACGCGAATCAAATGCTTGTAGACGTAACCGCAATGATTCATGCAACCTCAATATTCCATATCGATGTAACAGCAATTTCCGTAACAAGCGAACATTCTTGTGTAAGGTAAAAATTAATAATAGCTAATTAGAGCATTATCGACTTTATTATTCGTACAATGCGAATCATCGGTCTGATATTGACCAAATTCTTGGTCAGAGTACCAAGCTGCATCATGACCCCTGGGTTCGACAGCCAGTCAAAATTTATGTTTGTGTTAAAACACGAATTGTTGGCCATGGATTTCGGCTTCGGTACTATTATTTTTAATAAAATTTAAAAAAAATATGTTCGATTTTTAAAAAAAAACATTATTTCTATAGGTTTGAATACTGCTCCTGATAACGTACTTAACGGGAACCACAGGGTTTTTGTTACATGTTGTATATCGCTTCAGACGACCCATTCGTGTTTTCTAAAGTTGTCACCATGGTTGAAAACTGATCATTACGCCATCATAATATTCATCATATGACATTTCGGTGATTGTCTAACATCTGCTAAGTTATTAATCACATGCTCAGCATTGAAGGAAAGTTGCGTGTCAAAATTCGCATGTCTCAGTATGAAAGCCTATTACTATAACTTAAGGCTTCTGCTTACCTATAGGTTTCTGATTATATTTTCCCTAGTACTCGTTCAAAATCAGAGGAAACCTGTGCCTTCGCAAAAGACGTTATTACGCGCTATTACTACTTTAACAAAAGAACAATCACAGTGTTGATGAACACAGATACATTTTAGCTTGCTGGATTTTATTATTCAACTAGCTGTTCCCCGCGACGTCGTCCGCGCGTAAATTATTACGATTGGATTTCATGGGTTTTAATTTTTGGCGCGGAACCCTAATTTTTTTTTTCTAAAATAAAAGTAGCCTAAGTTACTTCTTATAAAATAAGATATCTGCCAGTGAAAATCCGGTCAAAATCGGTCCAGCTGTTTCGGAGATTAGCCGGAACAAACAAACAGACAGACAGAAAGGCAGACAGACAAAAATTTAAAAAATCGTGTTTTTGTTATAAGTACCGTATATACTTTCATGTGCATATAGTAAAAAGGTGTTATTTCGAAATTACAAACAAACACTTCAATTTTATTTATTTGTATAGATGTATAGATTATTATTTAAGAATATGAAAATAT